GTTTGCTTCTACAAAAATGTATGGATGATATGCATCAGGAGAAACACAAAGCTTATTGCTCCAGCAATACTCTATTCCACTAAAGCATATCTTTACTAAAACACAGAGTAGTGCAGTATTATACAAATTACTTTTGACACTCTTGTGTTTAGACTTTAAAGCATAGAATTACACAATGCAAAGGATTAGAAGATTTCATGTAACTCAAAGTATTTAAACTCAAAGTATTTAAAAAAGACACACAACCCACTTTACGGTAGTATATTTAAAATATAAAGAAAATGTGGTTTTGCTACGCTTTTAAATGCAGCATGTATCAGGTCAAAGTTGTTTATAGTATGTATGTCTTATAAGTGAAAATTTTTGGGAAGGAGTTTTTCTTTCTAAATAATCGGAAACTAGAAAAGTAAATCTGTGGGCGAAGGATTATGGGGACAGAATTATCACTGGGCAGAAGTATTTATATTTTTATTTGCAAGGTAGGCAACAAAATCTGTTGGAAGGATATTTTTATATAAAGATATCAGTACTAGCGATGAAAAAGCTTTCCACCAGCTGACCTATACTCCTAGGAAAGGAGCTTGCTGTTGTAAAAGTTACAGTAACAACAGTATAATAGCTTTAGTATTGTTTTTAAATATAAAAATGGAACATGGCTTAAGTTCTGCCCAAGTAGTTTAAGGACAGTGGGAAGTTTTACACTTTGTAGCCTAGTCTCCTTCCATTCCAGAAAACAGACTTCTTTATTTGATAGCCTTTTATTTTTCCTTTTCTGGTAACTTTGATCTTAGGGTAGAGGTTAGTGTGATATCATACAAAATTCCCTATTTTTGCAGTATATTGCAGTTGCAATCAAAAGTACTCGAGTTCTCATCGTTTTATATGAAGTAATAGAGCTTAGAATTGATCTCTATACCACTTAGAGGTTTTTAAGTACATCAAAAGACAATGTTGTAAATGAAAAGTTCACTGTTTCTGGATGCAAACAAAATATATCCTTTTAGTGTTTTCGATATTAGGGGGAACAGGGGAGCCTTGTGTGCCAGTTTTCAGGTTGTGACCAGATTCATTTTCTAATGGGATGCTGTACAGTTTGAAGAATGTGCTCTCTCTGTATATCCTTTGACTTAACCATGTTCAAAACCTATTATTCAACCAAGCACTATAATAATTCTTTTGCCTATTACCTTACTAGAGCTCTCAGATTAGTCTATCAACGTATGGAAGATTAACTCCAAACAAAACTGTGGGGCCAAGGAGAGAGGGTGCCTTATATAAGCATAATGAAACTCTATAAATGTAACACCACGTATTGCAGTTATCTCTGTATCCTAAGAAGAAAAATAAAGTTGATGTTGTTATTAAAATGTACTTGGAATCCTTTTAAAACATAGAATTCCAAGTGTTGAGTTCCAGGATACAAAACAGTATTCTAGTTACAGTCTAATAAATGCTAAGTAAAGGGGATAATAGCTTCCCTCAATCTATTTGCTCTGCTCCTTTTCATAAAGCTCAGGTTGCTGTTGTCCACCTTCTCTGCCATAATACAGTGCTGGCTTACATTCAGTTTGCTGACCCACCAGGGCTCCCAAGTCCTTTTCTGCAGAGCTCCTCCCCAGCCTGTTCATCCCAGCTTGCATTGTTGCTGAGATTCCTTCTTCCCATGTACAGGACACAGCACTGGCCTTTACTAAATTTAGTGAGATTCCTGCTGGCCCATCCTGTGACCTGTCTTCTGTCTAGGCCCCTCTGAATGGCAGCCCTGCCTCCCAATTGGTTGTCATCTGAACACTTGAGGAAACTATACTCCTACATGCTCCAGATCATCGTTAAAGATGGTAAACAGGAATAGAAATTCATGATTGCAACTACATAAAGAAGAAGAAGGGCTGAATCTTACACCTTTCTTTAATCTTACCTTTTCTACCCTCTTTTTATTTACATTTAGATAATAATGTAAAATACAGTCTCAAGCTTCTTCTATAGGACTACCTGCTATTGATTATTAATATGACAGTAACATGTATATGAGGTCAGAATATCCTCCCACCTTCCTCTACTTTCTCTTAGCGACTGAATAAGCAGCTTTAAAAGATAAATCCATATCATCAGGCTTTCTACACTCAGCTTTTGGTGAAGTTTTTTAAAAAAACAGTGAGATGCAGTTTATATGCTCAAGTTGAACAGCTGCACAGAGCAACAAGTATCCATTGCTTCTGTTGAAATGCATCTACAGTCCACTTGCCCAGTGGAGACACACTGACAGAAGACAGTATTTAGAAAACTGTTCTGCAACAAACTGTGCAGCATTACTGATTGCACAGTACAACTATAACTATTACTGAATTTTAGGAACTATTTTTAATAAAAAACTGACTTCAAAATTACCTAGGATGTCTATGCGGCATACATAATGTAATCTGTTTGCTCTGAGAATACTGCCTAAAAGTGAGTTCTTTATATGTCAACAATCTTTAACATATATAAAACTAATTTCAAA